TTTCTCTCTTTCTCTCTCTCCTCGGCAGATGCGAGTTCCGTATACCGTCGTTAAACTTCACTTTTCGTCTGTCCAAAATCCTCCTCTCTTCGTTTCTTCCCGCCGTTCTTACGGAGCGCAGAATGCCGCTGCACGTGTTCTGCTGCGGGTCGCGCGCGCGAGTCCCACTCGAATCCTCGTGCCCTGCCTGTTTTTTTTTTTTTTTTCTCAAAGGCTACATTTATATCGTAGAGAGATAAGGACTTATCATCTTGGCGGATTATAAAGCGATCAGCCGGATATTTTTCGCCAAACAATCCCCGGTGAAACGCGGACTTCAACTACGTCAGATCGCGTCTAAACTCGCGACTCGGAGAGGCGGGGGTGGGAGAACAATGACCGCGGACGATATCCTCCGGGGCCGATTAAAGGCTCACCATCGTTTCTTATCGACGTCGTGGATTTACGTCGCGTGCGAATCGCCTCCTCGAGGTCCCGAAGATCGAGCCAACGTGACGAGCGTCGGATGGATTTCACTCCGGCGACGATGGAAAGCGGCTCCGGCGCTGCACCGTGAAAAATACCGACTTCAGCGGCGAGAACTGACTCTTCCGCGGATACTGTCACGAGAAGTTCATCGACGACGACGACGACGGCGCGCCGTGTTCCGACACTTCGACGGATACCAAGGTCCTAATTTCTCGCGGGCGGGTGACCTCGCGTCAGCCACGAAAACTACGCCTTCTTTTCGGCTTCTTTTCTCTTTTGTCGCGGGATGATGAGAACACCTTCACCCCTCTGCCTTTCTGCGTTATCGAAAGATGTTGTTGCAGGAGTTGATGAGTAGTGAGAGCCTCGTTGATTATTTTTCGGAGGTGCCAAACTGCCCTCTCTCTCTCTCTCTCTCTCTCTCTCTCTCTCTCTATCGTGTTACGATCCCCACTTGATGGTGTGCGCACATCCTCGATAATCTTATCGCGACACACCGCAGGATGAGCAGGGGTGAGGGAGCGAGGGAGAGACAACGATGTAATGGAACGAAGGCAATGAAATTAACATGGAACGACGACAGGCGGCACGCGACTGGGCAAGTTCCTTCGACGGTGGCCAGGTATATATACGGACAGTCAATACACGTGAGTGACTACCGAGCAGAGAAGTAGCTTCCTCGCGTGTGCAAGCATAGCGCAGCGGAGCGAGAAAGAGAGAGAGAGAGAGAGAGAGAGAGAGAGAGAAGGAGAGGGAGAGGGAGAGGAAAAGAGAGGGAGAGGGAGCAGATAGTGGCGGCAATACGCTCGATTGGACGTTACTCCGGAGAGTAAGCGCGATAAATGATCTGTTGCAGAGATTGATTGTATAATTTCGATCAATTCAATTATCAATATCCGTAGATACGGCGGGCACTCGGCATCCTCGCAATCGAGCGAACTGATATCGCTCTCACCGGCGGCGTTGGCACTGGCCGGGTGAACTATCCTTTTGGAACTCGTGGAACGATCGGCACAATTTAAAGGGGAACAGTGCCGTCTGAATTAATCCAAATCACGCGGACATAATCGAGCCTCGCCGCCGAAACGTAACATTTTCGCGCGCGATCGGACAATTATGTAACGGGCAAGACTGATAAACTACGCGTACTTGTGTACACGTGTGTGTGTGTGCGTGTGTGAGAGCGTAAACTCGCATTAGAATAATCTTGTTTAAGGTACACACACGTCTCGCAATCGCGTTTCCGCAAACGCGGGAGTCCGTAGAAGCAACTTTTGCGAATCGACCACTCCAGAAGGACGCCTATGAGCCGAGCGGAATGAAACAGGAAACAGGAGCAACTCGTTGGCCATCAGCTCGTAATCGTAATTAAATCGCGTGGACGTTATCTACATTATCTCCAAAGAGAACGGAAGGGTTAGGGGAGGGGGGAAGGAAGAAAGGGAGGGAGAGAGAGAGAGAGAGAGAGAGAGAGAAAAGAAGAAGAAAGCGCTCAAAGATCAGATCTTTTCGACAAGTCAAGGCGTCTCGGCCGGCGCATCCTGTCGACGCGAGAGAGTACGCGAGATCGCTCGCTTTCACACGCGCGTGCACGCTATTTCCCTTCACCCAATTCTCCCGTTTCTCTAGGCCGTTATCCGCGCGCGCACGTTCCATTCAATCACGCCGCTCCGCTGATGAAGCCGACGGCACTCGCGCGCGTAATCGGGACGCCAAAACGCGCGCGCGCGCGCGCGACTTCACGCCCGTATAGCGTCGCGCACAGTTCGCCGACACCTGCGTTCCCCGGTCGGAGAGATACCCAGCGAATTCGTCGGCCGCACGTAGGGACGCACTCGGCTATTCGACTGCGATCAGCTCGATTCGCGCCTCTGCACCTCGAGCGATCCCTTTCACCTTATCCTCGTCTTCTTCCGTTCGCGGGGCGCGCTCGCTCGCCGTCTCTCTCCTTCCCCCCTTTCTCTCTCTCTCTCTCTCTCTCTCTCTCTCTCTCTCTCTCTCTCTCTCTCTCTCTCTCTCTCGCTTGGTTCCCTTGCGAAGGCACACGATGTGGCCTCCCACCTCCGTGAGCCGTCGCGGCTGCATGCTGCCCGATCATTGTGGGCTCCGCTGCTCTTGTTTTCACGTCGAGCGGCGTAACTGCGTCGTGCCGCGATTATGTAAGGCACTCACTCTGGTCGAGGGAAATTGAAGGTGTCCCTCGTTCCTCTCCTTCCCCGTCCCGCGCGCGCGCGCGCACGCGCGCGAAATGTCGCAAGCGTCGCATTCCAATCTTGGCGGAAATTGAGGGTCCAACCGGTGAGTTCGGAACGGCTGCCGCGCGCTGATTTCAAGCATTAGGCGCGAGAAAAGCGCGCGCGTAAATGTCACTGAGGCCGATTCTCGACTTTCCCTTTTATTCGACTGCCGGAGATCGATATCGCGCGAAAGTCGAAACGACATCCTCTCGCGCGCGAGCGCGCGAGGCGACGAGATTTTCACGCACGCGTGTGAAGGAGACGCGTCTTCCGCGCGACGCGAAATCGCGCGCTGAGCGGAGACGAGCGAGCATCTCCAGGTGTGTGGCATCCTGCTCCCTTTGGTGTTCGCTTTGGAAGTTTTGCTCTGCCGCTACGTCCTCGACTCTCTTCCGGCGCGGACGCTCTTCCACGTGGACGGTGACGCGCACTTCGTGTCTGCGACTCCTCACACATCCTCGACAGTGAGGCTTGACCCGAGCTGCGCCCGTTATGTAACAATGCGGGCGAACGGTATCTTCATAACTTTGTTCCGAAAGCCACTCGATGGGCCGATCAGCCGATCAGCACTCTTCTTGCTTCGTCCCGCTGTACTCCCTGACGATCGACCATGCGCTCTCGACCGTCCCGAAAATCTGCGGAGCAAAAGCTGTGCATTGTGCCGTCCTACTTATTATTACCTTAAATCTTGATTCGTGTGTGAAAAAGAAAGATCAATCCGTCAGATAAAAGAGAACCGCGACTGTGACCGCGTGACGTAATCTAAAGCACGTGAGCCAGCGGTCAGGTGGCGGAAAAAGGATCGGCGGAAGGTCGGAAGAGCGCGAGGAGCTGACGTTCTCCTGAGAAATGTCCGCGGAAGCTTCGGCCTGGCACTGGCAGCCTGATCCGTATTTGCAAAAGGATGCAGAAATATCCAAGAGCCTTCGAGCAGATCGGGGAAACATGATAATCGAATCCGATCGATCGAGCTGCCAAGAAGCTTCCAATTATATAATTCCGTCTCGCGTCTTATTCCCATTATTTCCGCCTGGCGGGAGAATCGCACCAAGATCAGCAGCCACGCGACGAAAATAACGACGTTCTTCGCGAGCAATGTCCTCGTGGCTTCCGCCCACTTGGTCGTCGTCTCGATTAGTATGGGGATCAGCAGCATCATCGTGGACATGCCCAAGGCGGCGAACAGACCCAGCAAAGGCACCATTTGGGGCACGGCGATGGCCAAGAGCGCTGCGAACCGAGAAGGTCGACGCAATCGCGCGTTGTGCGGACTACTTTATTACGTTGTATCCTGACGCACCGAAGGAAGGAAAAGCCGGTCGGATAAAAAATAATTGCACGTGTGACCGCGTGTGTCGCGTGTAGAATTCCAAAGCGAGAACGATCGAGTTGACGAAGGGAAGAACGGCGAGAATCTGAAAGTCTGACGATTCAACGTCCCCCTGAGACATTTCTTGGTACAAAAAGCGGAAGTCTTCGAGGACCCCCAAACGGATGATCAAGGAAATAATATACGATAATCACACGACGACGTGTGATGAGCAGAGATGATTTGAATCTACGCGCGACTTTGCTCAGCCATAAATAGGAATATCCAAACCGAAGAGGGAACGGCGGTGCTTCTTCGGATTTTCACAAAGCGTGAATAATAACAAACAAATTTTCCGCTCGCCGGGTATATAGTTCGCATATTATCCTTGATACAACTCGATGGAAATTTAATTCGCTCAGAGGAGAAGTGCCTTCCCCCCGAACCGAATCGACGCGATTACCGTTAAGGTCAGCGCGCCACGATTTAATGCTCGTTTTCGCCTGTGTTTTTTTCGGAGCCAAGCGAGCGAGAGATGCAAAAGAGTTCCAGGCCGCGGCGGGACAACTTCTAATCCTTCAATAATTATTCTTCAATCGCCGTGGAAAAAAAGAAAAAGATGTGACAATCGAGTCTCTTCCGGGGAGTTTACGCTCAACGTTCGTTTTCGCGACATGCTTACTGGACGCTACCACGCCGCCTAATCGCAGCGATATCTCGTAAATCCGCTGATGTCGCAAGTTCTCGGCGGCGATCCTCGCGCGAATCATCGGCCACAGCACGCTGACCGGAACGTAGTAGGCTAAGCCGAAAGTAAACAGCACCGATAGGGAAATGGCTATCTTCACTATTTGGGCCAAGCTGCAAATTATAAAAGCAGCTACAGTAAAACGAAGCCGGCCGCGAGTTCCTTTGTGCGAGATATGCGGATACTTGAGATATCGGAGAGATTATCGCAAAGTAATATTCTAGATCTCGAGATAGGCATAACGATAATGACAACATCGCAACATCGGCAACAATTGCAGCTTCGCGATGATTACACGAGATAAGGGCCCAAACTCAAGGGCAATCAGTTTTTTCTAATGATGCAACATAATCGCGCGCACGTTTCCGACCGCGACGAGGACAACGCAAAGAAGAACGCGAGAGGAAGAAAAGCGAGCGAAAGGCCAGAAGAGGCGGCAGAAGTGAATCGCTCTGCGCGTGAAACGTGTAAACGTTCCCGAGAGATTCTCTCGCAGTCGTGCTCGCAAATGTCGCAGCGAGATTGTGAAAATCTATCGCCTGTGTGCCTTAGAGTTACGTCAGAGCTGAGGAATGCGAGGCATACAATATCGATTTCACGCGATAAATTCAGAGCCAATGAATTATAGATACGACAATTTGAAGCGAACGGGAACAAGTCCGATAACGAGATCGTCCGATACCTACCCCTTCTTGTGTGTACATAGTAAATATAGGGCATTCGGGTTTACCTTTAGATAATTGAGTGACTTAATAACGACCGTCGTGTACATTGATCACGAGGTCCCAAGTCCAACGGACTGCGCAGGAAATATTCCGAAAGCGCCGGCGCTTCCGAAAGAAGAGACGCCGCCGCGCCGGCGATAATCGCGTCCCGGAGGACGCAATGGGCATGACAATGGGGCGGAGCGCGCGAATGGTGTTCTCGTCGAATTAGTCTCGCGTCGGGGGGCATTTAGGCCCTTCGTGCTCACGCGGTCAGCTGACTCTCCCGCGATTATATATGCACAACTGTCTGCGCGCGGTCTGTCCTCCGTCACGGTCCGTTGCCTCTCGCTCTGCTTTCGTCCGATCTCATGTTTAATTTATCCGGATCCGCGTCATGACACACGCGTCATTTACCTTCGCGCGACTACCACGAAGTACAGAATACACAAAACGAGACATGCCGAGCGAGGCATGCCGAAAGCGTAGTGATTCGCGTGAGCGTCAAGTGTACAGAGTGCTGCAAAAGGGGCGGGTCGACGTGTAATTGCATTTTTTTTGCTCATCAAGACGAGCAAAACAGTTTCGCTTAATTAATTCCCTCAATCTTGACTCTTGATAAATCGGAACTTTAATCATGATTGAGATCACACGTTAAATATTCACTATTAGAGGTATTTCTTCCTCTAGGGGAGTTTGAAAAAAAAAATCTTGACTCGACTTTCCAGCGAATAAAAGTCGAGTCAAGATTTTTTTTTTTTCAAACTCCCCTAGAGGAAGAAATGTTTATTATAATCTTAAACTTAAATTGTAATATTGTTCAAACGAATGATACCTCTAATAGTGGATATTTAACGTGCGATCTCAATCATGATTAAAGTTCCAATTTATCAAGAGTCAAGATTGAGGGAATTAATTTCGATAATATTTTTAAACAAATTTCATGAATTAAAAAGAAAACGGGAATGAAGGAATGCTCAAAATGTCTACCGTATGAAGCAATACAATTCTGGATTCGCATATCGTGCGACGTCCATCTTGCGAAGGTTGTTGCTGTTTGTTGACAATCGGAGCTGAATGAACAATTGTTTTCAAATAAAAGACAAGTGTTGATTCGATAATTGATTGAATAAGTATTATTGTGTGTGCATTGCGTCAACGTTGGAATTAATTTTCTCAATTTTAACTCGTTGTTAAGTCTCCAATTCAAATCCAATTTCAGGAACTGTTTTGTTTGTTTTAACGAGGAGAATATAATTATATGAGTCACTCTTTTTGAAACATCCTGTACGTACATCTCGCTGGCAGATTCGCGTGATTACACTGTTATAATCGGCGTCATAATTATATCACACGCAGACAGTCGACACAGTCCCGCCGTGTTTGCCTATCGTCGAACGATGATATACGACCCGATCGTGTCTCCGATAACGATTTATTTGCTATTTTTCAGCCATTTTCACCGAAAACTCCGACGTCCGTCGCTTCCAGATGTTTGCGCAAAAAATGTTTGCGAACAGTCCGCGTCGGACCGCTACCTCGCCGGCCATAAATCGCAAGCAGTCGGATGGAGCGACGCTTAAAAAATGTTAAAACAGCAACAACATCCCGACTAAGACGCGCAAAGCGAGTTGAACGATCCGCAAGACAAATCTCCAGAATGCACTTACGTCTCCTGCATCGGCAGGTTCTTGATGACCGTGTCGCAGGCATTCGGGTACTTGTTGTAGCCGAGGAAGCCGAAAAGCAGGTACACGACGGTGTTGAGCAACGTACTGGCGACGATCAGGCGCGTCATGTGCTCCGGATGCTTCATCGTGTTCTCCAACGGCAGGTACAGAGTCATATTGTGCAGGGCGAACAAGAAGACGGCGCAATACATGGGGACAGGTAACACCTCCGTCAGGGCGTTCAGTCTCTTGGGGTCGGGAAACTCGCTGAGGAAGTAGTAGAACGCGATGCAAATGCCCAGACACAGGAAGAGAGTGCCGACGACGGAGAAGGGCGCGAGGTACTTGAGGCTCGGTACGAAGCCTAAGGCGCAGGTGAGGGGGAAGGAAATCACGATGTACACTCGCGGGTTCATCTCGAATCCCGAAAAAAACTCGATCATCTGGAAGGGACGCGGAGTTAAAGGGGCAAGTTCGCCAAAAGGGTGGTTCTGAGCTTTGTCGTTTAGTCCCAACCCGATTCGAAAATGTTCACCCTGCTTTTCACCTCAGTTTTGACTATCTTACGCTGATTTAGTATTCTGAAGTTTATATCACACCCTCTGTTGATTTAAGCTGCACCGAGAACCCCTCTTGGGGATTTACGAATGACCAGTCGTGCGTTTTGCAATTCAGAGGGTAGGATTTCAGTTTCTATATCAGTTAAATTCTCATTCCCCAATTCCTAAATTCTCTCATTAATCCTGCATTAATCTATGAGAGTTCAGGTGAAAAATTTTCGACCCGTGAATCCACAACACAATACAGTAAACCTTTAGTTTTTCACACTAAAGGTTGAAACTATAACAACGTTTTTAGTAAAAGTATTTCCTACGTTACCAGAAGTATATAATAACTCTAAGTAAAATAATACGTAAAATGATGGTAAAATAATATATAATGATTCTAATATGTGGTAACTCTAAAAGATGTTTTTAAAAAAATATATATTTCTTTTTTAATATGTTCTGAAACGCTTAGTTTCTGAGATATAGCTGTCGCAGTCTCAGATAAAAAATATATTTTATTAAATGTTCTACATACAAATATGTAACTAGACGCATACTGTTATAAAAATACCAAATATAATAATATACCACCAATGTCACACTGAATGCTTAATATTCAGAAATGATCAAAACTGACAGTATCATCTTCAAAAATGATTAACGCTTAATATTCAGAAATTATCAAAACTGACAGTATTATCTTGAAAAAGATAAGAAATGTATTATATTGATATTCTCTAGCCGCTTATCGCGACACGCGCCGCTTGTTGTTCTTCCATTGTTGTCATCTTTTGAAGGCTCAGTATCTCAAAAACCAAGCTTTCGTGGACGTGCGTTTACCGAGACTTTTTACTTATTTTTCTCAACATAGAGTCTCTGTCTTGTGTAAGTTTGCCGGTAAAATAGTTTAGAGATAGCCTGTACGTTGTATTTGTACCATTGGACTATTGTACTTGTGTACTTTTCCTCTGTTCTAAAGGAAGCGCTCCGCTTCCTTTATTTTTATTTCGTGAAATCAGCGCGATCATCGAGACGACAGAGCGAAGATTTCGTCATTACGAAAAAATACGATCGCTCGCGACTTCTCCGTATCGATTGCTCGCAAAACGTCTTATCTCTTTCTTGTAATTACAATTACAAAGACAAGCAGCAGACAAAAATCGCGCGATTGTACACTTCACTTTACTTCGACTGAATCGCTCGTGTTATCTGGAGGACTTCAGACTCTTTGTCTTTGAAATCTTTCCGTCACGGCTTTTACTCCATTTTCATCACGATTGCGACATTGGATATTAATTCCCGTGCGATCTATGTGGAATCCGTGGAATTTGATCGATATAATAACGTCAGTTTTATCGATCAGGGGATCACACACCGTCGACCGCATCGCGACGTCTCGCCTAAACAAATCACCGGCCGGCCGGTACACGTCCAGCCGTGTGCAGGTCGCCTAATTGTTCCGGTTTCCGGTGTGTCGTTACCTGCTGAAACGACGTGGCCACGTACAATATATATATCACGGCGGACTGAAAGTGCACGAAGCAAATGATCACGTTGGTAAGCACGCCGAATGGCCTGGCGTACTTTCGAATCCTCTCCGGACCCGCCTGGAAGGAGAACTCCGCTGTTTTGGCGAAATCCAGCATCGGCACGCGGTTACGCCTGCATAACACCTGCGAGCACTGCACCTGCGCACCGAAAGAAAACCTGCACTCGGATACAACTTCCACACGCATCGGGGCCTTCCCTCCTCTCTCTCTCTCTCTCTCTCTCTCTCTCTCTCTCTCGCCTCCGCCGTGTTTACGCGTTATTTCACCGTCGACACCGGCGAGCGATCGAGTCACGAGAGCGATCACGGTCGATGCAAGTAGAGTCGCGCTGTTTCCTTCATTCCTTGTCTTCGTCATGAGGTCATCGTTGTTTCGCGATGGACAGACTAATTTGTTGAAAATTGCGGAGAGTATAATTTCGGCTCGCGCGCCGGTGTCAGCTATTGTCTACGCGCGCTTATCGTTATCCTGCTATTCCTACGTTATCACGTACGACGATAACGGCCGTATGAGTGCATATCATGGCGACGATGACGCCGCAGACCATGGACATCGCGTAGCCGGTTCTTCTGAACGCGTGCGGCAGGAAGAGCACGCCGGTGCCGATCGCGCACTTGAGCAGGTGCACGAACGCGGCGAAGTCCCTGCAACGGTTCCCAACGATAAGTGCGACTTGCTCATTTGTTCAGCGATATCGACGACGGCGGTATCTAATCGCGCGGGCGAACTGATTTCGCCGGCTGCATTCCGATAAGCATTTTTCTCACATACTTCGCTCGGAATTGTTTTGATGTCTCTTTTGATAAAAGCGCGACACGTCGGGCGATTAGGCGCGATCGAGCGCCTCTGTGAAGTCTCTCTGAGGTTTCTTTCTTTCTTTTCTTTTTTTCAAGATTATCGTAGAGCACGTGACTCTCGCGACGAATAGTAAGAATTACCTCTGACGATTGATCTTTACGACGTAAAGTTTGAAAAACGCCCAGTCAGCGACCTGATGAATGTCCTAATTTCGCGACCGTTTGCATGACCGGTAGGGTCCTTAAGGGGGGAATTACACGCGGAAGGCCGTTTTCAAGGCTACTTTTACGAATTTTTTTAACAGAAAAGATAAGATCTATAGACTTGAAATTTTCACAGTGTATTCATTGATATTCAGAGTATAAAATAAATTTTAGTGAATCACAAAAATCGATCCAATTTGTAATTATAGTTAAAACAAAAATATGTCTACGTAAAAAAAAAAACAAACATACATACATATATACATACATGTCTACTATATATTGTGTAAAAATTTCAAATTATTCGGTCCAGTTTTTTACATAATCGTGTCGACAGTTTAAGAAAATGGTGTTTCCGGATAAACGCGTTTAAAGGTTTATGTATACTTTTCATATAGATAGTAACAAATTTATTTTATACTTTGAACATTAATGAATACACTGTGAAAATTTCAAGTCCATATGATCCTAGCGTTTCTGTTAAAAAAGTTCGTAAAAATAGCCTTGAAAACGGCGCTTGCTCCGCGTGTAATTCCTCCCTTAATAAATCAACTGACACGGCTTTATGTTTATCTTGAACATGTTCTTCATCGAAATTTTGTATATTTTCGATTATAGCAACTTTCGAATAAAATTAAATAGGTACTGCGACGTCGTACTTAGGTAGTACATGCCGTTTGATAACCGTTTTCCAAATGTTTTATAATTACGTTACATTTTCTACATGTATATGACCGGAGTAATTATTGCAATACAAGCTGGTATTTTTAACGCAATAGTTCGAGCTATTACTCACCGATACTTCGGACAGTTAATTTGACCGTCTATTTATAGAATATGCGCAATTATTCGTTTACTTCTTCAAAGTTAAGCCGTATCAGTAGATGTCGCTTTAGCTATTTTCGAGAAAATGCGAACAAGCTAAAGTCTTCTCACAAGTGAGAAAAATAAGACACAGTAAAAAGCCCAGGTGTCCAAATATCACGACGAATATGGAGACTTCTTATTCATTTATCAATTATCTATTAATTTATCTTTATTTATTTTTATCCCCTTAGTATCTGCTCAAGTTCCAGCGAGGGTGCCGAAAAGACGGCAAAAGACGCTATCTGCTAGTGGACGTTTTCCTCCGTATGTATTATTAATTTATTAATTTATCTTCACGGTGGGCTCGCTTGGTCACTGATCGGGACCTTCACCTCGCGTCAAAGGAAAAGACGACACGTACGTGGTGAGAGGTGCAGCCGGGCGATCGGCGAAGGGATCGTACTCGTCCTGCTGGATCAGCCGGTCAGCCTGATGGACGCCATCCGGATTTCCCCTCGCCGGGAGCCGGGATCTGCGTCATCGTGCGATCGAGAATGTAGATACGATGTGGCGAGACGTCTCAACGCAAAACGAGGCCTCGCGAGCCGTCGTCTCACTTGTCGATCATATCGCGCGTGGTCGCGCCTGGAACTCCGCGAACGCTCCGCCGCCGTGAGATCTTCTCGACCGATGCGAGGCATCCGGATCTGCCGCTCACGCGGACTCCTGTCGACGTTCGCCGGCCGATGACAGCCGATTAATTGCCGGTCAACCTGTTTACACGACACCCACGCGGCATTAACGTTTTTCCGCTAAATCGTTTAACGGACGATGCGGATCGGGAGATCCCGGTTCGGCGGAACGCGAAGGGCGACCGATTGCGCAGACGAGCGGCGATTATTCCTTGTCAACTCGGACAATATCGCCGTTCGATACGAAGTATTCTCCGTATCGAGTGGAACCGCACTGGGTGAAAAAAAAAAAAAAAACAGAAGGAAAAAGAACTCGAGCTAGAGTCTGGCACGTCTGGCTTCGGTATTTCGTCTTCGAGCAAGTTCGAGGAAAACGCGCGGGATCTTTTATGTAAACCACATTTGTATGTGGTATATTTAATAGTCGCGCGCATTCTACCGAAATAATGCGAGACGTCCGGTGTGTCTTAATGAATCTCGATAATTGCACGTCTACATTAACCACGCGATTGTTATATTGTGCGCCACTGTTATCACGCTGAAATATAAATCTTGCCGTGCAACAATGACGAACGTACGGAGAAGCAATTTCTTGCGTATTTATTACGTAACGTCGCATCTACCGTGTTAATCTCGAAACGTCGCTTCGTGCGCGACGCGTGAACATACCGAATGCATAATTCACAACGGATTGTCTCCGACCAATCATCGGCTATTCCTAATTACTAATAATAATAAGGAAAACGCGCTGTACGCTCGACTATCGCTGAAAAATGACGAAATTCGCAATGTTGTTTCGTTTTTTCTCGTGCAAATTGATGGCCGAGCTGCGTACTTGGCGGTCGGGCGTGTTTCAACTGCACAAATTATTTAAACATTACTCATATCATACCGTGATCGCGTGACAGAAAACGACAAACGAAAATGTGAAACAAACGACTGGAGTTTCTGCGGACAGCTCAGTAAAACGTCAAAAGAATGACACGTCGACGAGCGAGGTTTTTCATTGTCGCGTCGGTAGTTTTTCTCAACCGGAAATGACATTTCAGCGCTGGCACCGGCTTGTCCTTCGTCGGTCAGTAAAAATGACGTTCCAGCCTTGGCTTAAATTTTTTTTCCCAACGTCGCAATAGAAACCCTGAAAGCATTCCTCAATTTTTTGTCGGGGCGATTGCAATAAGATTAATACGAAACCATCGATTTATGCGTTTATTCGAGCGCATTGTCACGTTTTGTTGAAAAAGTTCAATAGATTCGACTGTTTCTTTGCTAAAATACAACAGTTGATGCTGTGGCAGAAATACCGATCGTATCACGTCGGATAACATTGCAGTGTAATTTCCTCAAAAGTATACCTTCTTCCGGTAAAGCCATTCTTTCAATAATCATATCTTTGTGCTGAAATCCTTTCTACAAATTATCTTCAAAAATTTACTACATCAAACACCAGTTTATGTCAAACGCGTACTCTAAAACATCTCCGTGCATGATAAACATTGAAAATAATGAAAAGGCGGTCGGAAAAGATTTCTCTTCTGTTTGTGCGACTTTTCACGTACTGTTAATCAAGTATTTTATATATACCAAGAAAATCACATCACGCGCCTGCAAACGTGAATTGGCTTCCCACTGTCCTTGTCACTGAATTGATTAATATCTCTGCGCAGTTTTCCTAGCGACATCCTCTTCTTGGAAATCGTATCAGAACTGATGACTGGGACGCTGATAACGTGAAGATCTTGAAGTAATTGCATTTTATTAATCGGATCACATTATCGCAGATTCGTTATAGATAATTTATTTACATTAGAGCTATTTAAATAATTCGCGACGTCATCTATGTACAAATGTGTGTCGGTGTATCGGTAAAATAATAATTTCGTAATAACGATATATATCTAAACTAGATAAAGTATAATATACAATGATAGCGCTTTAACCATCGATCGGGAGGCTGCCGTACCGCCGCAGCCGGTTTACGCGCTCTTTCTCTCTCGCTCTCTCTTTCATTCTCTCTCTCTCTCTCTCTCTCTCTCTCTCTCATTCTCTCTCTCTCTCTCTCTCTCTCTCTATCTATCTCCTCTCTTTCTCGATTTTACGCTCGTAATTAAAGGTATAAAAATAATAGCCTCCAGTCGGCAGCGCGTATATCGATACGGGCACCAGAGTCCACCGGCTGTACGTAATAAGAATATCTGAGCATTCTCCTGGCGCCACGAGCCCCTCTCGAGTTAGTTAGTTCGACAAACTAAAAGGAAGAAAAAAGGGGCACAAATCACCGAGTGCACGTCGGTTCCCTCCCTCCCGTCCCCATTCGTTTCGCCGCGCGTAATAACATTTAGGCGCTAAAAAATAATAAGTAAAGTCCGTCAGTCCTGTGGTTTTACACCTTAAACTACATATGTTAATCACATGTTTCGCGGTTACGCTCCTTTTATAGCTAGGATCACAGGCTCCGTCTGTGATTACGATCAGTGTTCACAATCGTCATTGTTAGTTATAAATAATTGAATTGGTTGAAGCGAGGAACTATGTAATACAATAGTGATCTCTCCTCCTTCCTCTCTCTCTCTCTCTCGCTCTCTCTCGCTCTCTCTCTCTCTCTCTCTCTCTCTTTCACTTTCGCGCGCACGAAGTCGCACTGATACCGAAAAATGAATCACCGGCGACTCCGGCGAGGCTCAACTTCTCCGTACGGGAAGGGTGAACGTCACGTTTGCTATATCACGGCCGATTGATTCGCAGATATTTTGCGTCCTGCGTTGACGAGCTCTCGCGATTAACGTCAAGTATGATATGTGTCGTTATTATTACAGAGAAAGTGCGACAGCGTGCACCCCCGAGATGTATTCTCCGCGGATACGACGAGATTTCGACGGGTCTTTCGAATTTCTTTTCCTATTTTCTTCTGTTTTTTTTGTTCTTTCCTTTTTTGTTTTCTCAGCACTCGCGCGTATTCTCCGTTCCGCCCATCACCGGTGGACGGTGGCGCTTGGACGCTTCCTCGTGTCAACTGAACTCGCCGGACTGCACGGATCCGACCCACACTGTTACAACGCGTTTCTCTCTCACACATACACACACCCATACACACACACACACACACACACACACACACACATACACGCACGTAGCGTATTAATAAATAAGAAAACGATTGATCACAAACGCAGATTCAAATCGAAGATACAAATGCTAGTTGGAATAAAAAATTGCGGCTGGACGTCGTATGGAATGTGAGCTATCTAGTATCCTCTCTGCTACTGCGAGCTAACGATTCGCTCGGATCTCCCCTGAGTGCGGGTCCCCAACGATATTCTTTTCGTCATTCAAAGCGGTAAAAAGGATTACAGATCTCATCGGGAGAAATGAAAAGGGATAGCAGTATGAAATAAAGATACGACGTCTACATACATAGAAAGATTACCGTCACCGAACGTGTACCAAGTAATGGAAAGTTTGATTGACAAACTCATTCTTGACGTTGGTCAAATAAACCAAATAAATTTTGGCGCTGCTCACGCACGTCGCGGGACAGAAAGAATTAAGACGAATTAGCGCGAGCATTATTCGAGTCTACCTTTATGTTCACTCGCTCTTCCGATACGCGACACCAGAAAATATTTCATTTCTTTTAATTGATCGCAATTAATACGTCACGATAAAAAGAAAAGTTTCACATATACGTTCAGAGCTGAGACAGCTGTAAAATATTTTCAAAAAATGCGTAAAGGAAAATATAAAACATCTTCAAAAAATCGGTAAAGTAATTTCCGAATTTCACAAATTACAAACTATAGGTCTCTGTACAAGTGCATGACACCTGCTTTTACATCAAAAACAAACATTGATATATCGCAGAATCTCGTAATTTCAGTTACGTCTCAGTATTGCCAATCAGAAACTATCATAAATCTAACATCTTCCCGCGATCGTTATTATCAACTACATCAGTTGTATTCGTTATAGGTCGATGTACATTTTTTTTTTTTGCGAAAGTAAATCGATACATCAGCTTTACTTTAGATCAAGCAGTAAAACAGGCTGCCAAAGACTGTCTCTCCCTCACCCCCTCTCTCTCTCTCATGAACTTCCAGCGGTGTTGGAAAAATGCACGAAAAATTTTAACCGCAAATAATTTCCACGTGAGAAAATACCGTTAGATCTCGACTTGAAGACCAACACCGTTCGATCTTCCCCCTTCTCGACTATCGTAAGAGATGATCCTATAAAGAAAAGAAAAAGGCAGAAACTAAAGGAATCCAAGAGATAAGAAAGGCACACTATAACAGGTCCACTGAGAATGCCGAGTGCCATTCTGTCAGCGTGTTGCGTGTATCCCTGCTATACGGACGAACGAACGGACGAGCGGACGAGCGAACGGACAACGTACCGACGGACGTGGTATCCCCGCGATTAGAAATCAGTCATTTATACATTCTCGCGTACGTCGATGACTTGTCGATACAAGGCTGCGCGAATGCGCAAAGTCAGCGATGTGTGGTGAGCGCGGTACGTTGAGAAAGAAGCGGCAGCGAGAAACTACGCGCCACAACAGCAGCCTTCCTCGCCGGCCTGGCTCAATCCTCGCTCGAAATCGGATGGCACTCGAGCGAGTCGCATTCGGCCAGGGCCTCGCCGCGCCGCGGCGGGAACTCGTCGGTCAGCAGACTCTCCGGCACCGTGACCGCCGAGTCGATGCTGTCGAAATAGCGATGCGGCCACGCGGTGCTCGTGCGGAAGCGCCTGGTGGGCGAGCCGATCATGAACTCCACCCGCGTGGAGCCGGTGACGGACGACGTCTCCTCCTGATTCAACGAGTCCGGGTAAAGGGACGAGTCGCTGTGCCGCAGACTGTTGGTCTTGTTCGAGTACCAGGAGCTCGGTGCAGCTTCCGTGCAGCTCTGGAAGATACCAAAAGGCGCGTTAGTCACCGGGCCAGCCGACTGCCGTCGCTGCTGTGTTCTCTATGACAAGCGAGAAAATTCCTTTGCAGTCTACTGCTCCGCGGCGCATCGTCCTCGAGAGAGTGAAAGAGAGAGAAAAAAGAGAGATGCGCGACAAAGATTAAATGAAATGGATACTCGAGAGATCGGGAACGCACAGCCAGCGCCACGATTCGGCGGCTCGACGAGAGAAGGAAAATTACATTCGATGTAGCAACACGCGCGGCGAACGGCAAACAACGACGCTGGCTGTTTCGATTCCGAGGCGGCAGGATCCGTCCTTCCGTGTCTTCTCGCATGGGACATGCGACGAAGCGAATTTTTTACTTGATGAGACTCGAGTTCCGTACTTATATGATCAATATTAACGTACACATATATGTATAATAAAGATTGTAATAAAATCAAATAAAAGAGAAAGAGAAAGAGAGAGCCTTAATGAAGTTAAACATTTGCCAACAAAATATCGTAAAATTTAGCGTCGCTTCACGGTATTGCTCGACATGAGATGGACAATGAACCGCAAGGCCAAGCAGGTAAGCGCGTGTGGTCGATTCATTTTCCCTCAAAATCGCTGGCCGTGTGCGCGACTGTAGATCGCGGCTGCGACGACTCGAGAGCTTCCTCGAGCCGCTCTGTCCGTGCGCGCACGCACGCAAGCAACGCTAGCAAATAAGGTGAAATCTCAGCAAACGAAAAGAGCAAACGAACTTAACACACAATATACGTTGGACGGCAGCGGGGAGGGCAGCTCGCTACGTTCGAGGTGAGAATGTATGCTCATGACGATCAGAAATGCGTGCTAAAAACGGAACGTTCTCGTCTCTCTGATTGTCCTCCTCGTCCTCGTCGTCGTCGTCGTCGTCGTCGTCGTCGTCGTCGTCATCGTCGTCGTCGTCGTCGAGAATGAAAGACGCTCAGAAATACATGGCGGAGAACGTACGGGAATGTCGGCGGGTGAATGGGTGTACTGTACGTCGGAGTGAGTGTGAATGGTTGTATGCGTCTTTGGCGGACAAATGGCGAACTCGGAATTATCTATAAACGTGCCCAGGACAGGTACCTAGTTCCGTGGCCGGCCTAACTTCAACAACACACCAAACCAACCGTGCCAACGGAAGTTCGCGCTCATCGCGGCAAACGCATAGACTGCGCTCTGAATAAACATTCCACGACTCCCCACGCGCATGCACGAAGTGAAGTCAACGGGTCTCCAACGCGCGCCAAATAAACCAATCGCAAAGAGAGGCGAGAAGCAGCGAAATTCACCGTACAACCGGGTTAACTCTCGTTGAGGTCGGGCGGCACCTCGAACCGCAACGCGTCGGACGCTTGTTTCGTTTAAACACTTCACCGGCTTGGTCGCATGTCCTTTCATCTTAGGATTAAACGGTTAAAAACAACACATGTATTAGTCTCTATTAGTTGGCGCTTTCTCTGTCGGGAGGCGGAAGTAATTAGGTTGAAACGGCGGAAATCTAAGTACCCCGGTCTGCGAGTATTAAGACGACAGAATTCCGTTATATAATATGGCCAATCAACAATTAAAGATCAGTCTATGTTGGCTCTACGTTTACGTGTGTGCGCCAAACCTTAGTATTATTAAGAATATTGTTATCCATTCCAGAGCACTTGTCAACGAACTCGCGCGTATTTATACATGATCGCGGACACAAGCAGCGTCGACTCGGATGGCTTCTAAACGAATAGGATGAAGCGTATGCATGACTTGTAGCGTGATGATAAAAGTCCAGTTGCGCTCGCGAGATCTCTAGGTCCACCGGATACATGTGTCGTCAAGCTTGAACTTTTTAACAGACCAACGAGCCGCTGCTAATTCCGGAATGCCGACACTAAAATTTCTCTCAAGTGTCAGCCAGCTTGCGAGGCACCTCCAAGCTGGCCGTCGATTTCCTCCTTAAGACAACAAAAAACCATCCACTTGGAGAAACGTCGTAACTTCCGGATCGACAGCTGCGATGATCCCACTAGAACTCGCAACGTGGGAGGCTTGACTACAGGTATGTATACGTGCGCATGCCAAAATCCAAGTGAGAGCGTTCAAAACATGGTGTATACACTACCGGTGTGATATGGGGGCGGGCGGAACAGGGCAGAGGGAGAACGGGGCACGGGGAGCGGGGAGAGGGGAGGGGGAGAAAAACAGGGCACGAAAAGACAGAGAGAGGCTATACAGCTCACCACATCCAGAAAAGAAGCATCGAAGCAAATGATAATAAAAGAAGCATAACTTACGAGAAAAAACCGGCGGCACGCGAGAAGGGGCCACTTTCGTTATTGGACCGCCGACGGGGACGGGCTCGAACGCACGCTCGCCTGTCCTCCAGATCAGACATTTCGGTATGGTGGACGGTCGGGCAATTGGTGGTTTTAAGACAAGAATCGCTCGCCCGAGAGTCTCTGCGTATCGTTAGAGGTACGTTTCAGGAACATTGGTTTGTCGGGAGGGAGGGGGAGGGGGGGGTGAAGACAGTGTGGTCAGACTCAGTGGGTGCGGGAAGTTCCGTCTCAGTGTGTGTCTATGTGTGTGTGTGTGTGTGTGTGTGCTCATACTGGCAGTGTATCGTGTCAAAGTCCGTGGTTGAAGATAGTTGCGAAGATAGGTAGATGGAAGAAAAGACGAGGAAGAGAGAGAGAGAGAGAGAGAGAGAGAGAGAGAGAGAGAGAGAGAGAGAGAGAGAGAGAGAGAGAGAGAGGAGAGAGAGAGAGAGAGAGAGAGAGAGAGAAGGAGAGAGAGAGAGAGAGAGAGAGAGAGAGAGAGAGAGAGAGAGAGAGAGAGAGAGAACAAGAGAGAGAAAGAGAGATGGATAGCGAGTGAGTGGACGCCGCGGGGAGACAGCGTTGCGAGGAGGTCGGTGCGTACCCGCAGGTAGTCGGGTCGGTTATGTGTATCCTCGTCGGTACGTCGAATGCTCGTGGATGCACTCTCGATATCACGAGCCGGTGCAGTCAGTCACTGTTACGGTTATCGTACACGCGACGTAACAGTAATGACACGGTGACATTGGTGATTACGACGTGGGAGTGGAGGGGAGGAGGCAAAGAATAGAGAAGCGGTAGGCGCGAGTTAAAAGGACAGTCTCGTGGAAAGACTCGTCGTAATCGAGTGGAAGCGACCAATGACAGTAACGCCGTTCAGTCTGTCTAACCCGAGTTTCGACCAAGGCCAAGTCGGTACGTCCGGATAGAGAGAAAGACAAGTTTCAATCCGGAAAGTAAGGGACTCTCGACGGTTCCGACGGGCTTGTCAGGGAGGTTCAAGAGGGTGGACTTGGGAGGGACACGCTGTTGGAGGCGGTGACTGTCCCTAAGAGAGCGACTACGGCCCGTCCTTGCCTGGAGGAGGCTTGCGGAGAGCTCTCTACTATATCGGGCCATTGGACAACGGTGACTTCAGCCAGCTGCTCCAAAAGAATTGCTTTACAGGTCGTACCTTGCCGTGCTCGCTATCAACGGACGTCGCCGCGCGCGCCAGGCTGTGGGAACGGCGTGCGGGAGCGGGCGGTCGTCGAGGGGGGGCCGTCCCCGTGGGCGAGGACGTCCCGAGGTTGTTAGACTCCAGCGAGTCACGGGCGCGGGACAGCGAGGAGGATTTGTTTAGGGAGTCTCGGCTGGAATTATTACGCGGCAAGGACCGGTTCAGGGACGACTCCCGATTCGTCTCCTTGTTGTTGTTGTTGCTGCTGCTGTTGCTGTTGTTGTTGTTGTTGTTGTTGTTGTTATTGTTGCCACCGCTGCCACCGCCGCCAACGTTGCTGCTCCCGTTGCCGCTGCTCCTGGATAAACTCCTGCTGCCGAGCGAGTCCCGACTGGAGTCGCGCGGTTTCGACAGCGACTTGCCGCCGCCATGGCTGTCGCGACTAGAATCACGCGGCGGTCTCGTTAGCGACTTCAGCGACTCCCTACTGTCGTTCCTGCCGTGACCAGGCGGTCGAGGCGGCGTCGTGGCTACCGTCCCGCTTGCCGCAGCCGTCGACGGCGACGTGGTCTTGCCGCTCGTGCTGCCGGGTAAAGGTATGCGGCTGGGACGCCGACGTGGCGACGGTTTGATCTCGACCGGCTGGTGATGGTCTCGCGCGGACTCCGTACTGCTGCCGGGCTCGAGACCGCTCTGCTCGCACCTGGGCTGTTCCGATTCCGCCTCGGGCTCGTGTTCCGTTGGCGGCCGCTGCTGAAGACGCTCCAGCACGCGCACTCGCGCCCGCGTGCCCTCCAGCTCGATGTTCCGTTCCTCCAGCTGAAACACACGTGTGATGAGTGTTGTCTCATTCGGCTTCAGTTTACACTGGTGAGGGTTCGCGTAATTCCCCGAGAGAATGTCGCGAATCTGACACGTTTGTTCCAGGACTCTCTTCCTTTCGATCGAACTGGCTGGGCTGACAGCGATTTCAACGTCAGCTTACCTGGAATCGTAGATCGTCGTTCTCTTCGCGCGCTTTATCCAGTCGTTCGGAGAGAGTCTCTGTGCTTTTCTCAACTTCGTCTAGTCTTTTCTGCAGGACCTGCAAACGACCGGTTACCGGTAAATCATCGACTTATTCGCAAGAAACTCGACAGAGTTTCGGATAAAGAATATCAATGCCGGCTGACGTAGGTAACTCTGGACATTCTTATCGCGTCCTGGTGTTCGAATATTCAAATTTAAAGATCAACGCGCGAGATAAAAACGTCCAGAGTTACGTACAGAGTGCCGTTTCCGGCATTGGTGCGTTCATCCCGAAGAACGGAATATCTCGCTCGAAATCTGATACCCTCGCAGAACACACAGCGACAAGAGAGGACATGAGCCCAGCCCACCTGATTATGGACGGTAGTGGTGATTAGATGCCGCTGGAGCTCAAGGGGCGAGTTCTCGCGGAGAATGGCCGCGATCTTCCTCGAGTCCACGTCTTTCACGTGAGTTACCCTGGTGGGTGAGACGAGAATCGAGTCGAGCGCCCCCAGTCTCGCTCTCCTCTCGTTCACGCTGGCCTCGACGTCGATATCGACGCGCGGCTCGTCGTTGCGCCCGACCACGTCCAGCAGCACGTTCTTCTCGATGGTCCTCGTGCGGAAGCGACTCTTGTGAGCCTTGCTGGGGCTGTTCGTGACCGACGCGAACGCCGAACCCTTGCTTTTGATGCCGCTAACATTGGCGCTCTTCGGCGAGGTGACTACCGGCGCGATTGGCTGAAGTCTCTGGACACCCGGTGCCAGGATCTCCAGGGTGTTTTCGGTCAGACCAGCCTGCAGCCGGTCCTCCAAGCCGGTCTTCAAGGCCGACAACGCAGCCAATTCGGACTGCAGTTCCTGAGTACGCGCACGACTCGATATCGTTTCTGCCTCCAGTTCGGCCACCTTGTCCAACAGCTGCTCCTTCTCCCGCCTGAGCGCTATCACCTGCGGATCCCTGCTGTCCTGCTGCCGGTCGGCACTGTCGCTCGCGATGGTCCTCCTATCGGCATCCTCGTGATCGGCACCGGTGACCTTCCTCACTGCCTCGAGCACATCCGTGGACGCCAACTCCTCCGTCGCCACGCTTTCCAAGCGGCCTTGAAGGCACTCGACCTCCTCTCGGAGCCGGATCCCTTTGCGATGGATCACGTCCAACAGGTTCCACAGCTCATCCTCGGCTTCGTCCAGCGCGTTCGGTCGCGGACTGCTAGCTCGTGGCGCAATCGCCGTCGACGCGCTGTCCTTCGACGAGGCCTCCGTGCTGAAGCCGGAGTCCTGGACCGTCGCGCTGCAGTTGTTCTTGGTACCGCCGCTGTGGGAGTTGCTGCGACTCCTGGGTAACGACGAGGACTCGCCGCCGCCGCCGCCTCCGCCGCCGCCTCCGCTACCGCTGCCACCGCTGCTGCTACCGCCTCCGCCACCGCCGCCGCTGCCGCCGCCGCTGCTGCCGCCGCCGCTGCCGCTGCCGCTGTTTTCGCGCGGCACACGCCGCCTCAGCTTGCCGGGTTCCCATTCGGCGATCCTGCGCGAGGACGGGCTCGACAACGGCAACGGGATGTGCGAGCTCTGGGTGCAGGTGGACGACATCACGGACGCACCCGCGGACGCCGTCGCGGCCATCTTGTGCCGGAGGTTTGGGAACGTCTCGATGACGAGGTCCCGGAACTCGAGCAAGGCGCCGACCTCATTCTGCAGCTCCTGCAGGGCCACCAGAGACTTGGCTTGCTCGCTGATCAGGTAATGGAACGGACCAGGTCGCAGGGGCATGCAGTCCATGCCACCGACACCACCGCCGCCACCGTTACCGGCACCGACGCTCACCACGACGCCCTCCGTCGAGCCGCTGCCGCCGTCGCCGCTGTTGCTGCCGCACTGCTGCAACAAGGAGAGCAGAGGTCCAGTTTGGTCAGTTGTTCCTTTTGTTGTTCGGGCACGAACGGACCTGGCCCGATATTCATATATCGCGGATGACCAAGGATCAGCTGCACCGATGAGCTGGTGCAATAAGTTAGAATAAAAGTAGGAAGGAAAGAAAAGAAGAAAAGAGAAAGAGAGAAAAAGTATAGTTGTCTCACTTCAACTTATTGCATCAGTTTAGCAGTGTAGCTGAAAAAACAGGTGACAACAGTGGACTTCTCAACGAGAAACTTGTATAGATCAAGTGCTTATTGAGACGTCAACATGGAAATTGGCACATGAGGGTTTTCCGGGACAGTATTGACTGCGAATACTAATTCGCCTAAATTAGAAAATTCAAACTGGCGCATCTCCAATGGCCGGCCTGAAATATTCGCGCAAGTGGGAGTCACCTAAGATTTGTATATTTTACGCAGAGATATAAGAGTTTCTGCTGATTACGAATCGGAAAATTTAAAATTGAGTATCCGAGTAAAATGTTCGAGACGCAAGTTACATTTGTTTCCTCGATAGTTGAACCATATCACTTGAGTCTCGGAGCAATTAACGAAGATCAGCGAAGTCATGTCCACTGAGAACGATATTTCCAGTCAGGTCTCATACTTGAGATCGTCGAGTTTATCTTCGTGGCCAATAAAAAACGAACCGTCCGGCATCCGAAGCTAAACTCGACAGTAGCCTGAATGCAAAAGTCCGACTGTGAATACCCGAGAGGAACTTCCGTTTTCATGCGCGAACTTGTCGACCAGCACCGCCGACTGGGACCGCGCGTCTTTGTCGGCCAGATCTAGAAGCAACTTCGCTCTTCATCCCCGGCCGCTTATTTCTCGCTGAGCGTCACGATGCTTTCGCGAAGTTTTGCGCGGCAACGAGGATCTCCTCTGGAGATCGGTCGCGGAGATCGGAGAAACCGTGCACTTTCCTGCGCGAAAAGGACGCGTCGCTGAGTGCCCTAAGTGAGGCGCGCCATCCGCAACGACGGACGCGCCGTTGAAGCCCGCCGAGTCTGCCGCGTCTTCTCCGCCGAACACCATCAATCTTGACCGTAGTTGGTTGCATCGGGCCGTTTCTTTCGGGCACACCCGCGCGCGCGCGCGAGCGGACCGTGACAGCAGAAATTACGCCGATAATCGGCGTAATTTATCCCACTCGAAAGTGCAATTTCTACCTCGTTCGAGCCTCGCAGCGTGTCTTTCCATTATTCGCGGGACACGTCCCGTCCGATATCCCGCGTTCGTGACAAATAGCCTCTCTCGCGGCCTAACCGCGAGTTCGGCCGGATTTCACGACGCGCTCCGATGCGCCTCTCGAAACTGAACGCCGTCGAATTATCGCGAGCGCATCCCGCGTGGAAATTCCCCGTCACTTTCCCGGGCGCAGCCCGCGTAGACTCCGATTGAAATTCGCAAATTTGCCTCAGTATTGGCTGTTCGCTTTTCACATCGGTTGGCTCGAGTCCTATTCTTGTCGCGCGGGTCCTCTGGCTAGAATCGACACCGAAGCACCATGAAGATGCATTCCTTTTTTTCGGTGACGTCGCGTCAGTTTTATTTATCAAACTCCGGACTGGGAAATTCGATTTTTGTACCAATTATTGTATTCAACAGAGAGAGAGAGAGAGAGAGAGAGAGAGAGAGAGAGAGAGAGAAGTAAAATTCTAGCATAGAAAATGAAGATCAGAAAGAATATCGAGAATACTCTGGGAGTTTTTCAGTTTAATGCTATATAAAAGTTTTGTTTGAAGTAAAAATATAATATACGTATTTTCCTTCATACTAAAAGCATTTATAATCCATTTTAAAAAGAGGTGCAGCAAAATATTTGAAGGTTGACGTTATTCACACTTTTTTGAAGCATTGCTTGTGAAGTTTGCGTAAACGAAATTCTCACCCGAACGCGTGTCAGACATTTTATTTTATTAGACTGAAATATAAAGTAGAAACAGGACAAGAGAACTCTGAGGGATGAAAAGAATAGGATCTAGTTGGCTTTAACTCTTGGCACTCGAGATACGACTCTCAGTCGCTGCTGGATTTTGTGCTCAGCTGCAAGAAGTTCGTCAAATATCTGTAAAATTGTCGAGAGTGCAAAAGGTTAAATTCTAGACGACTTTTTCGCTAGGGCGAACTAGCAACTCCAGACGATTTTGCGAATATTTGACGAACTTCCTACAGCTAACATAAAACCCACTGGAGACTGAGAGTCTCGCTTCTCGAGTGCAAAGAGTTAATATCAATCTAATAGCGTATCTCTGAAGCATTACGTTCTTTCGTAATCTGCTAGCAGATTTCCCCGTAGGAATCCTTCGTTTTCCCGGGAAATCGCAACGGACTCCGGGACAGTTTCTACGCGTGACTTGAACGTGCGCGGATCTCGGGAAATCGGACTGGAGATATCCCGATTGGCCCTTGATTGGCACTTTCCACGCGGGATAACACAACGGGCCGATCGCGATCGGCGGCGCGTCCGTTCGCGATGCGGAGGAAGAATCCTCGCGTGTCCGGCGACGCGTTCCATCGAGTTGCCACGTCCGTTGTACGTATTATTATGAACTCGGCGGCCGTGCGGCGCTCTGTTACGGCGGACTTTTCCCACGTTGGCGCGATTGACGCGACCGGAGCCCGGAGAGAATGAAGCAAACGGGAATCGGGTTATTGGAGCCTAATATCCGTTCGTTTCTCTAGTCGCCGCGCGACGCGAGGAAGTCGCTCTTCCGCGAGCTGCGGAAGTGCCGAGCATCCGAAAGTGTACCAGGATACGTCCGGCCGGGAGATGATCATTGATTATGTTAACGAGACGCGGCCCTCTCGTGCTTTCACTCGCGCGCGCGGAGATAATGGGAAATCCTGGGGGGGGGAGGGATCGCGATGGTGCGCTAATTATCATCGACACCGCCGGCCGATCGGATCGCCGTCGAGTCGAGCAAAAGGTCGATTCTCTTCGCTCAATAATCCGGATTTAGGCCGGCGTGTCTGTCTAAACGGGGCGGCGTGATCTTTTTTTTTCCCCTTTTCTTCGTAATTGCCGATATGCACTTTCACCGGTTGCACATATCCCCGTCGATAGGGGGCAAGAGAGAAAGAGGAGGAGAGGGAGAATAGCACGGCGAGTGGTGCGGTCGTTACGTTAACAGCCGATAATTGCATTAAGTCGGAACAGCCGTGGCTCTCGAATCGGCCGCCGCGTTCTTTTCCCGACGTGCAAATTCGATCTCCAGTCGTTTCGCACGTCGCCGGCCGACTCGCGGTTTTCCCCTCGTAAAGAGGATACGCGCGTATCCTGCGCGCCGGTCGAAAGCGAGGGACGAAAGTGCGGCGGGATGAATGCGCAAGCCACGACAGATATCCATTTGTCGACGATCGGCCGCGCGGGAAAACTCCAGTGTCATCGTTGCGTACTGTCGCTTTCCTCTCGCCGCCGCCAGCGAGAGAAAAGCGAATCGATTAATCAGCCATGCGCGCGTTCATCTCCTGTAATTATCGCGAAAATACCACAGTCGCGTTGCTTCGCGCTGCGACGTCTTCTTCCTCTTTTTTTTTTTCTTTTTTGTCTTTGTGCATAAACATTGGACTTTCGATCTCTCTGAGTCTTCTCCGCCTCCGCGCCACGGCTCGCTCGCATGTGCGATCGCGGTAGATCCTGAACCTCACTAATCCTTCAAGGCTATCATGGGTGAAATTTCATCCCACGTGAATTTTTTATCTTATTAAGAAACGTAACCACATCGACGATACTAATTTTATAGGTATTTATTTGCATCATCAATAATGACATTATGATAAAACAGACCAATTCTCGCGTATACTTTTCTATAAACAATAACAAGAAGAGTTAGCTCGGGGTGAGATTTGACGGTAGCTTTTGAGGGTTAAACTTCTGTGACGTGTTCGCTTTGTGGGTGAATTTCATTCCATGCGAATTTCTGATCTTCTTAAAAAATGTAACCACAGCGACAATACTAATTTTATTTACACCATCAGTCATCATCAGGAGTGACAACATTATAATAAAACAGACCAATTTTCGCGTATACTTCTCTATAAACAATAACAATAAGAGTTAGCTTGGGGTGGTATTTGACGGTAGCTTTTGAGGGTTAAACTTCTGTGACGTGTTCGCTTTGTGGGTGAATTTCATTCCATGCGAATTTCTGATTTTCTTAAAAAATGTAACCACAGCGACAATACTAATTTTATAAGTATTTACTTACACCACCAGTCATCATCACGAGTGACAACATTATAATAAAACAGACCAATTTTCGCGTATACTTTTCTATAAACAATAACAATAAGAGTTAGCTTGGGGTGGTATTTGACGGTAGCTTTTGAGGGTTAAACTTCTGTTCTGACGTGTTCGTTTTGTGGAAAGCACCGGGCTTTAGACTCGGGCGTGTGCGCTGCCCCAGACACACAAGATTGTCTCTCTCACCGCCATCGCCGGCGAGGAAGAAAGTGGAAATCCCGCTTGCGGCCGATGCATGCATTTCGCGGCTGTTATTTTGTCGTCGTGCGATTCGCGCCGCACGACGCCGCCGCCGAAGACCCGGCTGGCGCCGGCTGTGCGTGATACGCGTTACCGTCACGTTTTAACGCAGCGCACGATGCGTGGCGCGACTAGTGAAGCGGCACAAAGTCGGCAGGAAAGTGCGAGAGAAAACGAGGCTTTCGTGTCAGTCTCCGTCGAAATCCGTCGAAATCCGAAATCGGAGATTACGAGCGAGCGCGACGTCGATTTTGTTTTTTGTTTTTTTGTTCAAACTTTCCGATTCCCCTTTGGAATTTTTAGCTTCGTCACGGCTCTCGTAGATACACATCGAAACCAGCAGGTACGGATCGAGAGCTTGACACATGAGGAAGCTGTGTGACGTCAAATTGTTCTTCTACACGCTGGATTGCTCTGAAAAATAGCCGACTGTATGGAACTACTCTTCTAATACCAACATGCGGATGCAAAAA